GCGCTTGAGTGCTTTGCGGAATTTAAGTGTAGCAGCCAAGCCCTGGATGATGAGACACGATGTGGTTGACCTGTGGTGGCCAGGATAGCGAAAAGCATTGCTGCTGTGCAAACGATGGTGCAGAAAGATGCTGTAGTAACAGTAACACAGCCGGGGAAATCCATCGGGATCTCTTCAGGGTCAATCCCCACTATCCTACGCGAGAAGTTCGGCCTCAGAAAGGTTTGCGCACGCTGAGTACCCCATCATCTCAGTGATGAACAGAAGGCAGTTCAGATGAATTGGTTCGAAACCATGCCTGTCAACGTTGATGGTGAAAATTCCAATGAAGTTTTGGAGATCATCAGTGATGATTAAACCTAGATGTTCAGTTTCGACCCAGATAGCAAGCAAGAATCAACTCAGTGGACGCCGGTTGGTGGGGCGCAGACTCAGAAATGCTGACGCGAGAGCAGTGTGGCAAAGAAGATGGTAAATATGTTTACAACCAAAATCGGTCATATGGCTACCGTACCGCTAGGACAGCAAAGCGCAGTCACCGGAGACTGGTACAACACTCACCGTCTACCGAAAATGCTGAAAGCTGTTGCCTGGCTTCTTCCATGGACTCTGGATCAAGGGATCTTCCTACACCCTGACAATGCACCTGCACACATCGCAGGTCGTCGGCAAATTTCTGGCTAATGAACGCATCCAGGAGGTTGATCACCCACTCTACAGGGAAGGCCTGGCTCCGTGGAAATTTTTCGTGCTCCCAAAACATTAAGCGCTTATTTTTGCTCAACAAATAAAACTTGTTCTCTATCCAGAATTCTTTTTACTGAGCCCGCGTACTTACGTATAGCAGAGAACAGGATAACACGCAGCACACGTGGTCAATCAACAGTCGACAAAATGACGTAGGCCGAAGTCGAGTAACGCAGTGTTGATGGTGATCATTTAATTATTACACCGTGCAATGAATTTGAAATTCGAAAAGAGACGTCCATGCGGGTGAGTAGGAATTACGAATAACTGTTTGACGTGCCGGAACAGGCTTGATAATAACGACAAATCCATAATTGATTGTGGTAATGCGATCAATCGTAGAAGATTGGAAAATGTAATTACCCGAGGGAAATTGTTAAATATGGTATGATAACTAAAATCCAGATAAATCACATCGGAAGCGAGAAGAACCAACTGAAGAAAAACAGCAGCAGAGGGAATCCGCTGTAAATTTTGTGTCGGAAAATACGCATACCGCTTGAGTTAAACGCGTTGATGCAAAGAATACATTGAAAACTCATAACCTTTCTTGGTTAAATAGGAAAAAGAGCATAGCTCACGTAACTTCACCAATAAGAAAGCAGTCATCTGGAGCTGATATTTATTTAACATGATAAAAATGAATGCAACGTTCGCTTCATAACGCTGAGAAAACGAGTACGTGAACTTTCAGTCGTTCTATGGTGGAAACTTTTCACGTTTCCACAGATCATGTAATGGGATAACCATTGTGGTTAACAGAAAACTTCAAGGATGCAGCAAGAAAGATGCAACAGAGCAGATGGAGAGTAAAATCACGAATCCTTTGAAAGCACTGAATATACGAGGTTACATAAACAGCGCAACATCTAAGAGATTGAAACCGTGTGAGTCAAAACACCACGAATGTGTTTTCAACAGGTTGCACAAAGATGGAATCCAACTTTAACCTGTTAATGGCAATGGGGAATTCACCGCTTCACACACGAAATCGAGATGTTAGGACTAATTGTTAGTATTCGTACTGTAATAACTTGTCGGACACAGTTAAGGAGCCAGATCCTAGCTTGTATCCAGCATGCTAAACCTGTTTTGAAATAAAAGACTGTTTTCTGGTTCACCAATGTTTCCTTAATGGAGATCGTTGATTTCATATACAACCAAATGCAAACGCCAACTATGAATGTCGGCATCCCCGCAACTAAGCGGGCACACCTGCTACCACTGTGAACAAGTAAACTACAGTGTCTATTTAACAGTTCCTTGTATCTCTAGATGAACGAGTTTACCATAAGATCCTCACTCGCTTCTTTGCTAACTGACCATTTAATCGCTTAACTAGAAAAGTCCAATGAGATGAGGAATAGGTTTATTACAGTAGACCCATGGTTGATAGCATATGTTCGACCGAGCACCATATAGAATATCACAGACACTGAATTCACCAACCAAAACACAGTAATCTCTGAATTTTAGTGTAGAGATAGCAGCTCACAAGCCGACTGGCCTTCTGCGTGTTGTTTTGTTTAAACGAGAAGACGGATAGGGAACAACACTGTTCCAGGGAAAGAAGACATTGATTTTAAATAGTAAATAGAACAACTTTCGTAGCTTCAACCCTGTTAATGGTAATATCGTGCGATTTCTAATCTTTAGGACTTGATGCCAAACTTTGATTCATCCACCAAACACCACAGGACAGTAGTTATCTGGCAAAGTGTGTTCATAGAAATGCTCAAGTATCGCTCAGAGGGAACGCCTGGTTTTGTCTCTGAGAAAGTTCCATTGGTAACACTTCCATACATAACGAATTTAACGATCCCCACAAACAAACTCAGACAGGTGTTTCTCATATTCACAGGAGGAATAATTAGAAAAATGACCTCCTTTCTATAGATATACTCTTTGGGGTGTTTTACATGTATTTTAATGGTTTACACAGTACGGTGTTTTAAATAGCAATACTCCATACCGGTCGGGAAAAGATTGACATTAACTGCAGCGTATTTCTGGGTCTTCTCGTGGAGACCGAGCATAAGCTATCAAAGTTGTGTACTGTATACTACTACTCAGTCGATCAAACACGATTCGCCTTTGAACGCAGATCATGGAGTAACCATGATATTAGTTGAAAAACATCCGTTTTCAACTTGAAAATCACGATAAATCAACGAAGATTTCTCATACTTGCTGAGATAATTTCAGTCTGCAGATCATTAGGATTTTGACTGATATTGCTGTACGTTCACCAAACAATATTTCTGTCTCCTCATATGTATACACAACTGGCTTCCACCTTGAATAATGAAACCTCCGAAGCTGATATAAACTAAAACTTACTGAGGATTCATGGAGTCAAGACATAGGTCTCCAAAACACAGGATTATCCACATCTGCCCCTTATGTGTCAAGATCTGCGTAGGTTGCGTACTTCGAGAAGCTAAACTGCCAACAGTTCTATACTACGCTTTTATGCCCCACGTTCCAGTGATTCGCAGTTGATCGAAGACACGAATGATGCAATCTTTGTCAGATATGCAAAACTATAATTAACGATAAACACCGGTTGCCAGTTGAAGTAATAAAGTGAGGTTTACCAAAAAGAAAGTCGACATGCAAAACAGTTTTGACTAAGTATTGATCGTTGTCAGACAAACCTTAAATAGAAATAAGCTCTCAGTTGAGTTCAACGGTAGTTCAGACGATTGCCAATTATCGGTCGCGATTTTGCATAAACTGTAAGCAGCAAGACCGTTCATCATCATCATCATCATCATCATCATCATCATCATCATCATCATCATCAACTCACTTCGTGACGGTTACAGTGCAACATCACTCATTTTCGAACAGCGTGATGCAGTATTGCTCCATTTTTGGGACTAGCATTACATTTTGGAGCAGATATGTCAGAGTGACGGATTAATCAGTTTATCGGATGCTATTTGATGGACATGTATATGTTCAATGACGAATCAAAAGAATAAATTTGTGGTGAATTACTTAAAGTGTCCATATATACAAAAAAGTTTATTTCAGCAGGGTGAAAAGTGGTCAAATGGAGAATTGCAAAACGCTTACTCTGATGAGAGCTTCCGCTTGTTTATTCGTCGATCATGAAAAAATAAATGATTGGAAAGTGCTGGTTACCCAAGACTGATGAGGAGCACTGCTTCCATGGGCGTTTTATCCAATCATATAGTCACTACGCCTTCTAAAACAATCAAAAGACAATTGTGCTATTTTGAAATATGCCCATACTCGCATTTAGAACACAATTTCAGGCGAACAATTGTTTTCAATGACTCATAATCTTGCCACTACAGTTTATATGGGAAAAACTCCCAGGGGTTGGGAGGAGAACAATAAAATGTGAAGAATCGTTCACTTCGTATATGCGTTTGTGTGTGTGTTGTACACCGCATTCTCAGATATGTGCCTTTGGGTTTTGCAGTTGTGTCACGACGGTCGTGCGACCCAGCTCTGAAGGATCGGTGTTGTTGTGAAAATGTTTGTGTGTGTGGACAAGGGGGCTTGGGGGAGGAGTGGGTTCACAAACCCAGGGGAGATGCAGAGCTTGGATAACACGTTTCTGGGCACATAGTTCGGGGATCAAGTGCTTAATACAGATGGCCTCGACTATGGCCAACATTCGCACTCCAACATATTTGAACCCGTTCGGAAGGACCTGATAAATAATGCGCAATGCTTCACTTGGGTCAACACGATGGCCAGTGTCTACCAAGTGAGCGAGAATCGCACTTGTGATAGATCCGGAACCATCTGGACTCAGCCAGCGGGGATGGTGTTCTTTCATGGGGATAGATAACTGCCGCGCCGTTCGACCGACGTAGAGTGCGTCACAAACGCACCTGAAGGAGTAAACAATAATTGAAGCGGTCCACATCGGTAGTTTATCTTTATTCCGCGTGGTTATCAGTGACTAACTTTTGAAAGAGCAGCGTAGGTGCTCGGCGTTGAATGTGGCTTTTACCGCTCCATTCAGTCGTCTGGTGAGGATTTCAGTGGCAAACTTCATCCTTAAAAGGGATACTAAAGATTAGCTCCTTCTTTTCCACCCCATCATTGTGTACTTTTGGTACTTGTTCCATCATATTTCGTTGAATGAAGCAGTCAGGATAGCCATTGCTTCTGAGCACGTTGGAGATAAATTTGAGTTAATCTTCCAATACTTCTTGTGAGCAGATTCTCCGAGCTCTAGATACTAAACATTTAATCAGGTTTCTCCATAGCTTGATTGGGACATAGCTGTAAAAATCCGTGTATTGGCCACTCCAGGTTTTCTTACGGTACACGCGGCGTTGTATAGATCCATCACATCTTCTGATGTGGAGTACATCTAGAAACGGTATTCTATCATCTGCCTCTACCTTCTTTGTAAATTTTATGGCCTCGTGTGCGGAGTTGAAATTTTCTAGAAGTTGATCCAGTTCGCAGTTTGAATCAGCTATACAAAATATGTCGTCTACATATCAACAATATTTATGCAGACTAGTAACGGTGTCTTTCAGTTGGTTATTCTCCAGCACAGTCATGAAAAAGTCCGCCAAAAGGGTCCAAGTGGTGATCCTATTGCTACTCCGTCCTTTTGTCGGTAGACCGTTCCGTTGAAAAGAAATTGCACGTTGTATGTACACCGAAATAGAAGTTCGCGATGCGCTTCTGTGGGTTTGCCCAAATTAATTTTGTTATCAGTAAGATGCTTTATGATGAACTGGATGGTTTCCGCTAGTGGCACATTTGTGAGTAAAGTGACGTGATATCCATGGACAGCATCACCCTATCTGACACGCATATCTCGTATTGCTTCAATAAATTGGAAGGTATCCTTAACACTGTATGCCGATAACCGTTTCCTTTCGGGTTCAAGGATTTCAGCCAACCATTGAGCGATAGAATTGTATGGAGAATTAGTCATCGATAGGATAGGACGAAGGGGAACCTGAGTCTTATGGATTTTTGGCAAACCATTTAGCCTCGGAATGCATGAACTGGGAGGTATTATGCGTTCATAAAGCTCACTTATGTAACCCTCTTGATTGAGTCATTTCGGTATCCCCGTGATTTGTTGTTCAGTCTGGTGTGTTTTGTCTTTTTTCTGTTGATGTG